GGGGACTAATGACGTGGTCTGACATAGTCTGGAAATCCAGGCCCTTTGATTGGTAGTAGTAGTAGTAGTAGTAGTAGTAGTAGTAGTAGTAGTAGTAGTAGTAGTAGCAGTAGTAGTAGTAGTAGCAGGAGTAGTAGTAGTAGTAGTAGTAGTAGTAGTAGCAGGAGTAGTAGTAGTAGTAGTAGTAGTAGTAGTAGTGGTAGTAGTAGTAGTGTAGCATCTGCGGCAGTAGCAGCAGCAGCTGCAGCAGCAGCACCACTGGCAGCAGCAGCAGCAGCAGCAGCACTGGCAGCAGTAGCAGCGGTAGCAGCAGGGAGAGCGGTAGTGGTAGCAGCAGCGGTAGCGGCAGGGAGAGCGGTAGTGGTAGCAGCAGCGGTAGCGGCAGCGGTAGCAGTAGCTGTAGTGCAACTAATCTTCTTGGGAATAGCAGCGGCAGCAGCAGGATGAGCAGCAGCAGCAGTCGTAGCACGTCGGAGAAGGGCAGGAGAATCTTCACCTAGAACCGATATCATCAGCATCCTCGTCCTCGCGATCACTACCATCATCATCATCATCATCAGCAGCATCAGCAGCATCATCGTAGCCGTTGCTCGTTGTGTCGTCCAGCAGGGCTGCGACTATCATGTTTCCACAACTACAACTACATCTTATCAGAGCCTCTATCCAATTCCTTGACTGTACACCCTCTTAGTCCTAAGGGCCCGGTAGATCTGGCCTGGTTCACGCAGACCCCCAGTGCCGTAGCCACTTCCTGCTTTCCGGCCTGTCAATTGTCAACTCTCTGCTCCACCTACCAGAGCATTTCAGCTCTTACATCATGGGATCGGTAACGTCTCACTGTGAGCTTCTCCGAGCCTTGCTGGCAGATGATGCCAGCTCCAAGATCAGAGACCCTGCGCCGTCCGTGCGGGTGAACCCATTGGCTGATTCGTCGAATGTCTTGCATCGTCCATCGGGCGAGAGCGCCATCCCCATTTTGCAGAAGCCCACCTCGGAGAGATAAGGCTTCCCTTGTCTTGCAAGGTGTCACCAAGGGGCTACCCTTGCAAACGTCTGAACTGTTGCAAAACAACGGACGTCTGCTGCCATGACACCCACGTGTTCGGACACAGCTGCCTGAAAGGTACAGGCAGTCGCTGACTGGGCCACAGGCGCCATGGGACGCTCTTGAGAAAGTTGCACTGCAGCCGAGCGACAGGTTGCTGCCGGCCACGATACTGCGGTCGCACTTTCCAAGACGCTTTCCTTGGGCAGCACAGTCCAGCGCGACCAGCGTCGACCTCGGGCAAGGTACCCTCTCTCGCTGGGTTCCGTTCCGCATGCACAACTCAACTTCGGAGAAACATGTGACGAGTGGCGAGCACGCAGTGTCGATAGTGAAGCAAGGCCCTCGAAGGCCAAGTGCATGGGAGACGCGGCCCGAGTTCCTTCAAACAGCACGACTGCCAACACGCACAGGACATGGACCAGCGAGATTCGGTGTTAAGCGCTTAGCGTTACAACCCGACAGTCAGATGCTGAGTCGCCCTGAGGGGAAGGAGCCGATATTGGTGAAGGGGCCGATGTCTTCGTCCTGCCAGAAACCAGCAGCTGAGAAGAAAACAATTTACGTAACTTTTACAAAATTAGACGGGGACAAATCTGCAACGAAGAAGGAGTCCACACAGATGATGCTATATGCCAAGCGCCCTACTTGTAGAAATCATGATCCAAACAACAGGAGCAAAAAGGACATCTTCACCGAAATCTCCACTCAGACCGATGAACAGCTTCTCCTAATGCCAAACATGGTCACTCTAGTTGACAGGTGATCATCACTGCACCTCACAAAATCTTGCCCTGCTGACCGCATCTCGCCGGCTTCAAACTCAGGGCCACAATATGAAGGTACTCTGGGGGTTGCAACAGGCGTACGGTTAGGGTTCTGCAGTTCCTATAAGACTTCCTATAGCAGGGACCCAGAAGTGAACCCAAAGAGGCTGCTTTTCTGCTCTGCATCAAGTCCTGGACGCTGATGCCGCCCAACGTGGCGCAGCCGACGTAGCAGCCACAGTTGGTGTTGGAGAGCTGCTCCTGTGGCTGAATGTTTACAGCTATAAGCTGGCTATAAGTTGACTCTAAAGCTTACGGCTTAAGGCTTGCTATAAGGCTTCCTGTGAGGACTCTGCAAAGGTTGAGTGTTTGGAGCTGCAAGTAGAAGTCTGCAAAAAGGAGGAGCGCAAGCTACCCATGGGCCTTGTCCAGGCCGGCGTTCCAGAAAGACTCGTAGACCACCTCCAACCTGAAGGCTCCGAGATGAGTCTCTCAGGGCAAACCCTAAACCCTAAACCCTAAACCCGTGGCAGAAAGGGGGGCGGTTTTGAGGCTGCATGCCCGAGTCCGAGAAGCAGAATCCGCTGGTGTGGGTCCATGGCCTGTGCTTCCGGCTCTGCGATGCCGAACATCTTGTTGTCGAAGCCCTGCCACGACACAATAATAATGATACTAATAATGATACTAATAATAATAATGATACTAGTAGTAATACTAAGAATGGTACTACTAATAAAATTAATACTGGCTCTGGGGTGTAAGGCCGAAGGAATTCGAGGTCGGGGCCTCCAGGCCGAAAATGAAGCCGCCCCAGCGAGTGTACCTGTAGCCAAGTACATCACGCAATAGGAACCGGATTTCTGTAAGGAATCTTTGGAAGGGACAACAGTCAAAATCAGCCCCCATGTCCCCCTTCGAATTGAGCCGTGATGCATCTTGCCCGGCACCGATGGGTCAGGATCGTGGTAGAGGTCGATGTCCCATCGTTCAATGGGGACCGTAGAGATCATGTCAAGTCCTGCACATAGCATAGCCCAATACCTGCAAGCAGATAGGAAAATTTCAGCATCCCAAAACCAAGGCAAGCAGAGCCTGCTCTCCACAGCAGAAAGTCATCGAGGGCTCGGGCCCGGGCTCATTCGTGCCATTGCCATGGCAACCTGGGAACCTGGCGGCCATTCCGACTGTGGCCATTGGCTCGTTCGTGTTGAGATCCCGGACACCTCGCGGATGCCAGTACCAACCCGTTCAGGGCTTGGGGTGCATGTCAGCCCAAACATAGCACAAGATAGTCTAAATTGAAATATAAATATGTACATACATACGTACATATATACATATTTCGAAGGCCTCCAATGGCCGCTTCGTCACCTTCATCCCCATCGCTGAACTGTGCCACGATGTAGTCGGTCAAGTCTGCAACGGTGGGATAGTCAAACATGACCTGAGATCGTGAGCGACACAACAAAGCCTTCAGCGAGAGACCCTAAACCTCACAAAACCCCTGGACCCTTTTCGGTGGGTTTAGGGACGTTAGGGTCCACCCTGAACATCCCTGAACCCTATAAGCCCTAGACATCTCCAAGCCACGGTGGACGCCAGGTGGAGGCCATCGAAGGAGGCTTGGACGCGATTGCGGAACTCCACGGCCGACAGCGAGTCCAAGCCCATGTCCATCAGAGGTACCTGGGTTCGGATTGAGGGTGGCTTTTTGAAAGTGGTATTTTCGCAGGGTCTGAGGGGTTTTGGGGGTTTTAGCGTTTTGGGATTCGATTTTGGGGTTTTGGGGAGTCTAGCGTGGCTTTAAGGGCGGCTTTAAGAGTTTCTTAAGGACTTCGGGCTTCAGGAATGCCCCGAAACAGAGCCATCAGGATCTTGCTGGGGTGACCCAGGTACCGAAAAGTCGGAGAGGTCAGGATCCCCCAGCACGTCGCAAAGCACGTTGATGATGGTGGAATTCACCAGATCCTGCACAAGTCCGGCAACTCACGTTGCACGCAAACGCTCGACTGGATTCGAGGGAACTCTTAGTCTCAGCGCAGCAGAAGTTCTCACATGCCTCGCCGGCCTAGCCTAGGTGGAAGAGACCTGAACGAAGCGGTCAGATCAGGCCTTCGGAACCCCTCCACTTCCCATCTTCACACCTGCCGGCTGTTGACGCGCTCACGGCGTTTACAGGGTTCAGACTTGGCACGGTCTCGCACTACAGGAGCACCCTGAGCACCGGGCCTGTCGACTTCTTGTGGTGCTGGAAATTCTCAAGGAAGCATGGTACTTTCGGCTGCGCCGCAAAGAAGGAGGACCAGTTGATGCGAGCAACTCCCACAAGCCCCGGCGATGGACTCGCGGCCAAGATGGCACCCATCGCCTGAGCGGGCCCCAGCATGAAATGGAAAAATCTAAGGACTTTAGGAGGGACCCTTACTAGGGACCCTTGTAAGTTGTTGGGGTTAATATGGAGACTACCTGGCTATAGAAGGGGTATATAAGGACTATACAATGGTTATTTAAGGTAGTGGGACTCCTAAAGTCCTTAGAAAAAATCAGAGCCGACCACCCGAAGCCCCTAAGCGGAAGCGCTTCGAAGGTGCCTGCAAGCTGGCGGTGGGATCCAAGCGCAGGTAACCACCGCTCTCCGTCGTCCCAGCCCGTGCGGCCATGCCCACTTCAGCCCAGGGTCCCCACTGCACCGACACAGCTGGCAGGCCTCCATGGGAAGGCGCGTCTAGGATCTCACATCCTCCTGCCCTGGCCGTAAAATATAACATACTAGACCATGTATATGCCATAATATACGATGATATACTGTAATCTAGTGTACGACAGTATCTTTCTCCATTTGTTACGCCGTCAACAAGCCTTGGCCATGCCGGTGAAGCGCGAAGGAATCGAGGAAGGCATTGCCCGAGCAGTAGTTTGCCTGCCCAGGGCACCTCAGACACCTTTGCAAGCACTGCTACTCTTAAGATACACCTCAAAACTCCTCTTGCAGCAGAAGACTCGGTTGCCACACTAGTGGGCTCAAGGTCGTGACTGCAGTGGGAGCTGGTGTTCTCATGTGTTGTGATTGCGAACATAGCTGTTAAGTCCAGTAGTACTTCTTGCAATGCTGGTTGTATCTAGTTGTCGATTCCATCATTGTTGGCAGAAAGGGTTTCTGAGAGGTTTAGTCCAGACGGTGCCTGGCCCGGAGAGCCCAGCATTGCCGCTACGGAGGAGAAGAGCGCGAAGAAATCCACCTCAAGAGAACCATGTGTCAGAGAGGAAGACGGCTCTCGAACAAACTCACTGAATGGATTCTCACCAAGTACCGAACCCCCAAAAAGCCAAACCAAAAAACCGACGCTCCGTCCCTCCCACCTTGCTGCTGCCTTTGCCTTCGAGCCCGAGCTTCTGTAACGCCGCATGGAAATTCCTCAGCCCACATACACACATACACACATACATACAGACATGCATGCATACATACATACATACCTACATATATATATATATATATATATACCTACCTACGTACGTACATACTGTGCATTCATCTCAGTACTCAACCTTGAAGGTCCATTCGTTGCATCCAGTATGGGATGCAATGCATGTTGCACCTCGCGCTCAGTTGACAAACTTAGGGCGCAGCAGGGTACCGTCAATCTTGGGCTTGAGTACCGGGACGAAATGCTCGCGCTGCAGGTCCATGATCAAGTGATCATCCAAGACCTCATCACCGAATAAAATGGCCCGATATTGCATTCCGCACGCCCCTGATCCCGTTCGGCTCTGAGACTCTGACACCGGCTGCATGTAAAACTCCCTTCAGCGGCTGCTTGCCATGCACCGACTTCAGGCAAGATGTCACGGCCTGAGGTGATTTATTGCTGACGCTCCTGCTCCCTTCCAGGCCCTATGTTGAACAGGCCTCCACGGCAGAGGTGTCGCACGACTCCACCGTGGTTGCAGCTGATGTATTCTGAAGCCTGGCATAGGCCTGAGCTGAGCGAGAGGTACGGAGCCTTTGAATAAAAAGGTGGGTTGATGATGACCTGACATGCTGGGCTACGGCTGGAACCTTCCAACTAAGACGTTGGCTGCTGCAGATCCAGGATCCTGCAGCATCGTAGAGTCGCAGAGTAGCATGCAGCTGCAGCACAGCAGTTGCGATTCTGTGGAAGGCCAGGTTCGACTGCACATTTGACACTTGGGACTTGCGAGATGGAACAGTGTGACACGACGATGCATAGCAGAGACATCTTGCACAGGCATGCAGCCCGCCGTCACCAGTCCTGTGCGATCTTGCCGCTGCGAGAAAGCAGTGCCAGATGTCCGGCGCCCTTCTCCGCAAACCATGCAGCAAAAAGCAGCCCGAGGCCACCCGTGCCTCCACCTGGGTCAGTTTTCCAAGTTGGGAGTCATAGTCTTGGGATGAGGGCTCACGCTCTCACGCTGCGGCGCTTTGAGTTTAAAGGTCGTGAGCTGAGCTTTCTTCCTCTCTGCACTGCGACTGTGCAGCCGCCCTCCAAAAACTTGGCACCCCGGCTGATGACGTAGCTGGCATCGCCCAGACCTTGCACTAACGCTCGATTCGACCAGTGGAAGTACTTAGCATCGAATTGCAACACCCGCGATGGCAATGAGAAAAATCATGCTGCTGCTCAGCGGCTGTAGGCATCCACATCCACCTCCTGGAACTTGGCCGTCGTCTCTTCCAGCCGAGAGACCAACAACGTGGGCGCTGGCCCGTGGAGCAAGAGCTCCGGCTCCACTTCCGGAGCCTCCCCCGAGCGCCGCGTCGTGAGGGCGCGGAGCCTCCAGGATCCAGGCTCAGTGGCTTGGGAGGAGCATTAGAGAGAATGTCAGCAACGGCTAGTCACAGCGATCAAGACGAGTGGGGCCGAGTAGGGCCGAGTGGGACTTCCCCGATTCCCCGCCCCGGCCTGCTCACGATGTCCTTGGGCTTGGGCTTCTCGAGAGGGCCCAAGTCCACGCAGCCAGCGATCGAGCCGGGAGACTCCAGGCGCAAGCAGCGGGCCAAACCCCACAAACCCGCGTGCAAAGGCAGCCCCTGGCCCTTCAGCACGGACGCCTCCAAAGCCTGAAAGGAGGCACAGGAGACACAACTTCAAGCAAAGCTGACCACTGCGACCACGGTCAGGAACACGCATTTCTAAAAACGTAATCTGCAACACGGCTGGAGGCAGCACTTACTGACAGCACCCCAGCCCCCCACCTGGGTGCCACGGAGGACAAACCAGACTTCCGGGGCCGCGTCTCCCACCTGCAGCGCCTTTTGGATCAGGCGGAGGCCGTTGTGCAGCACGTCCAGAGGGCTGTCTTTCTCTGCGGGAAGGTAGACGATGCGTGTCAAGTTGTCGTAGTCAAGACCGTTCTCCGACATGGACGAGATGTAAACATGTTGCTCGCCCAGATCCTTCTTGAGGACCTGCCGGATCTCTCAGTCTCTCGCCACCGAAGCTCCCGCCACTGACTCTACCTAAGACCTACAATCCACAAGAGGTGCAACGGAAGGGGAAGGGGGCTGGCGGCTTGCCTCCAGCACCGGCGCCTCGGCGTAGAAGAGCCAGCGACCCTCGGAGTTTTCGCCTGGAAGGAGGCCGCTCTCCGAGTCCAGAGCATCCTCCGAAAGTTGCTTCCACTTGGTCTCGAAGAAGCTCACGGCATCCTTGGCCTTCGTGGCGGCCAAGGCCTTCTGGATCTGCTCTGGGAGGACTTTCCGGAAGATCACATCCTCCAGCTTCCAGAGCAGGGAGCCTGATTCGCTAAAGACCTGGCACGTGAAGATCTGCTGTTGGTCGGTCTTCTCATCGATACGAAGATGTAGCACCACGGCTTGGTCCTTCGGAGCCTTCACGGGAGATCATGCACTTGTGAAGCGACATGCATGTGGGGAGCAAGTCCTACAGCAGCGCAAGGCATCCCAAAATTGCCAGCTACTCTAGTGAGTGCCTGCCTCGTTGGCCACGACGGTGACCTTACCAACACCAGCAAAGATCTTCAGGAAGGGCGGATCCTGATCGAACATCGTGGCACAAACAGCATGGATGGTGCCGTCGAAGAGAGACGGGTGGATGATGTAGCCCTGGTTTGGCACGTCGGACTTGAGCTGCATGCGGCAGGAGATCTCGTCTGGGTTGCGACACATGTCATGGCACACTTGGAACTTCGGTCCCAGCCATAGACCAGTGCTGTCCACCAGCGGGTACAGCTTGGCAGGATCCACCTGCTCCGGGCACCTCCCAGCGCAAGCTGAGAGCGTCTGCTCAGGATCAATGGTGGCTGCCGCCTTCGGCCCTCCTCCCGTGGCTTCGACCCGACCTTCGCAGTGAACCGTCCAAGTATCATCACCTGGTCCCTGGCTTCGGAGTTCAAAACGCTTGTTACCTATGATGGCCAAGCGCATCATCATTTGCTTGCTGTCCGTGTCTCCATCTTTGGGCACCACGAAGGGCCAGACCATCTGTATGTCGCGCAGCTGGGCCTCCGGCCCAAGGTGTGCCCTGGCAGCCTCCATGGCCATCTCCACAAAGACCACACCCGGGATGACGATCTCATTGTAGACCACATGCTCGGCAGACACCTGAGGCTTGAGATAAGCAACATGGAGATCCGGCCCAATACTCTTACTCTTCCTTTTGCCAACTACTGCTGCTGCTACTTCTGCTCACGTGATTGCTGTGTCGGTTGTGCAGTTATGCCAGCCTGGAAGATGTCACCGCGGACCGGGCAGTCGAAGAGGACCTCGTTTTGCCCTTCGCTGCGCTTTCGCAGAAGCCGGGGGCCCGCATCCCGCCAGGGGAAGGGCTGTCGCTTGTACTGAAGGGCCGGCAGCGCCCCCTGCAGTTGCGAGAGAGCCGAAGCCACGGTGCTGCCCTCAGCCTGTTCGGGCTCGATTGAATGCAACCAGGGCCACTCTTTGCTGGCCGCGGCGCCGGAGGCACATCGCTTCCCCATCTTTACTAAGGTGGGCTCTGGGCCCACTTCCAGGTAAGCTTCGGCCTCCCCGAGCCCCTCCAGAGCTGCCACGCCGTCGGCAAACCTCACTGCCTGCGACACATGCCGGACCCAGTAGCCGGGATCTCTGAAGAGATCGCTCTCCGCTTTGCCCGTCACCGTGGAGAGGAAACGCACTTTCGGAGCGGAGAGCTTTGCCGAGGAAACCTGCAACAGCAAAACGGCTCTGCTTCTTCGGCTTCGAACGCTAGCATAACTGCCTGATGGCGACGACGACGACAACGCTGACGACGGTGCTTGATGATGCTGATGATGATGACGATGATGATGATGATGGTGATGGTGATGGTGATGGTGATCATGATCATGGTGATGATGATGATGATGATGAGGAGGAGGAGGAGGATGATGACGATGACGATGACGATGATGATAATGGCGATGATGATGATGATGATGATGATGATGACGGTGATGATGATGGTGGTGGTGGCGGTGATGATGATGATGATGATGATGATGATGAATGAGTAAATGAATGAATGAATGAATGAATGAATGAATGAATGAATGAATGAATGAATGAAAGTGATGGTGCTCTTGATGGCATGCGAATGAGTGCCACAACTGTAATACTACTCCATGACCGCATCACTACCAAGACGACGATTAAACAACGAAGATCTACGACAGCTCACTTTGAGTTATCACTCTGACAACCTTCTTGACAACTCTCTTCTGACAGCAAATCGTGCTTTTTGGCGCTGCCGCCTCCGTCCGGAAGCTCTCAAGCATAGGCTCCATCAGCGGGGAGTGGAACGCATGAGAGACGTTGAGCTCCTGCTGCTGTCTTCGAGATGAAGGCATTTTCTGTTTACAGTTTGAAGACAGGCACGAATCAATAGCTGCAACTGTGCACAGCAGCGTAGCCTACAAAGCTGCGCTTTAATAATCGAACACATCCTGCTTGTTTCTTGTTGTGCTGGTCGCTCTGTTGGATTGACGAAGGAACAGGAGCTAATGCATCTGAATGACCCTTACATTTTGCATTACGCACTGATGGCTGAAGATGATTGAAGATTGTCTGGGAGCTTCTAGGTCGTTGCGAATTTCTTGCAGTCGCTTGGATTATTGGCCCGCACAGCATCCAGTCTGACTTCCACTGAAACCACTTCGGCAAAAACCGGAAGAAAGATGTCCTTGTTTCCAGCGCCCGTGCTCTGAACCACTTGCTTTACCAAGTCCTTGTGTCCTGCAGGTCGTCAGCACTACAGGGTTCTTCAACAAGACTAGCCGCCGTGCAAAAATCGGCCTGAGACCACCGTCATCTTCGGCCCATTGACTGCAGCAACTGACACCTGCTTGCGATCGCTCTCCGATAGCCCAGAAAGGACTTTGAGCACATCCTCGGCTGCAGCGGCCCTCCGACACTGAAGCCCTAAACCCTAAACCCTAAACCCTAAACCCGCTCTCCGAAACGTCTTGACCCGACACTGAAGCATCTCAAGGTCTCAAAGCTGCATCTGAGAATCTGCTTCAGGAGCAAAGCCTCACGACAGCCCATGCCACAAATCGTGATTAAGTAGGCAGAACGCGGGACAAGCCGTTTAGTGTCTTGGGCCCACCACCTCTCCAAGACTCTTTCACGAGGCAAGTGGCAAGCTGTCATGCCGCCAATGTTGCCCTCGCAGAGCTCCGCAATCAGACGGCCACGCTCCGCCACCAGGCGTGCGGCATCCTCGAGCTCGAGGACACCCGCAACGACAGCAGCGGCATACTCGCCTCGTTCTTCCGAAGCTCAGCAGTCAACGAAATTAGGGGCGGAGCGTTTGCTTCTTGCCTCAACCTCGACACTGCCGCCGTGTGGCCCACGCTGTGCCCAAGCACGGCACAGGGTTCGATTCCGAGAGCTTTCCACATCTCCTTCCAAGCAACCCGATCTAGACTGCATGATTTCGAATTATTTCACTGGCCTACATCGAGTCAGAAGCGTCGCCACAGCGACTTTTCTCACGAACCTTTCATCCTAAATATCAAAGAATCTTAAAGGCCCCTGTAGCAAAGCCGTCAAGGCACCGCGAGGGCATACTCTACCGCAAAGATGGCTGGCTGCGAGTACCTCGTGAAATTATTATGAGATTCTGTCAAGGACTTGAAAGCCCAAGACCTGCGAAAGTAGCCTGACACAGATGATCTCCGGGATTCTGCACAGGGAAAACAGGGGACTGCTCAAGGGAGTCTGCTTGACTCTAAAATAGGAGGTTTGGACATGGCCACATGCATCATAGGCACCTGTCATGTAGTTCTTGCTAAACCTGCTGGTGCCTAATTTCTTTCTAGACTCGACATGTCCTCGTAGTTGGACCGTGGCGCGTATTTGCCCGTGTTTTCCTTCACTTCAGGGCTTCTCGACTCGTACTTGCGAAGGTTTCGAGGTTTCGACGTCTTCGGATTTTCTGGGATCATCTGGGCCTTTCGGAAATTCTGCTTTTTCGGAGTCTTCAGTTTTTGGCGGTCTGTTTTTTCGGCCTCTTCAGGCTTTGGCGGTGGGCACTGCTACCTCAACTGTAAACTCTAAAAACGCGAACCCTAGACCCTATAAAAAAAAATCCTTTGCAAGCTCAAAACTTCCAACCCGAAACTCAAAACCCGCCCCCAACAAAAAACCTAACTCAAGTTCTGGCACCCTAAAGCAGCTTTTATAGTACCAAAACCGTAACTTCAAACATGAATCCAAATCGCCATCTTGCCGCCCTATTCTCTCAGCCCTTCGCCTGACCCTTGAGATAACTGCAAGGTGGGAACCCCAAACAGGGGTTTAGGATTTAGGGTTTAGGGTTTAGGGCTTAGGGTTTAGGGCTTAGGGTTTAGGGCTTAGGGTTTAAATATCATGAAAGCAGCTCCGGAAGAAGGAAAGACCGCAATCATGCAGTCAGATTTTGCAACCACGACCGAGACGCAAAGAGTGCAGCAGAAACAACCGCGAAGTGTGCGGCCAACAGTAAACCAATATTGTTGTCCCAAATCCCCTGTTGAAGCCCACATGCATAATCCATCGCGGCTACCAGTGTTTTCGTGCTATCAGACTCATAAAACTGCAGGGGCGCCCATGCGCCGCGCACCTAGTGGTTGGTCGAACTCTGTTGTGTGACATGTGTCTGTTTCCATCATGTTTCTTGCTAGCCTTGCAGGGCATTCTAACTACTCTTTCTGGAGATGCCATTCTCATTTGTTTTTTCTGGCTCTTACTGCGCGTTCTTTTCTGATCGTCTTCTTAACATCATCTTGACACATTAATTATGCTCGTGTTGTTGAACTCTCTGCCCTATTCGCTCCTGCTCCCGCGCCTCTTCCTCTGCCTGATCCTTCTCCTGCTTCTTTTCGTGCGCTTCTTCGTCCAGTACTACACCTGACGCTGCCTGCGGCTGCGATCACCACGACTAGCTACTGCGACGACTACGACGACCACCACCACCATCCCTGTTACTGCTATGACCCCATGTGGGGGTTTCCGAAAATAGGGACCCTGATATAGTACCCTAAATAATAGGATCCTTATTATATTCCGAAATTAGGGGACCCTAATATGGTACCCTAAATAGTAGGATCCTTATTATAAGGACCCCAAAATAAGGCACCCCCTATTTTCGGAAAGTCCCATGTGACTCTGTGCGCACTTGGTCAGGTTGAGCAGGTCGCGGTTCTCCGCCTCCACAGACACGATAGCCCGAGCCCACAGGGTTTTAGGGTTTAGGGTTTAGGGTCTACCGAAGTGGATAAGTACCACAATGCCCGGTGCCTTGAATAGCACGTCGAGAAGTGGCTTCTCAAGCAGCGGATCCAACAGCTCTGCACACACATCTAGTGCAGAGCGGAAGGACTCCTGACAAGCCGCGTTTGGTGTCTGGGTTTCTGACGATACCATCAGCACAGGCCTGCAGCCCACAGAACGAACTGATTTGGGGGTTTCCGAAAATAGGGGACCCAAATATAGTATCCCAAATAGTAGGATCCTTACTATAAGGATCCCAAAATAGGGTAATTACCCTAATTTTCGGAAACTCCCAAGTTTTGCCGAGTCCTCGGAGGAGTAGAGCTCTTTGCCCATCCCGACGCGCTGGGAGCCCTGGCCGGTGAAGAGGAAGGCCACTCGCTTCTTGGACGCGGCCTTGGCCTCCATACCAACCACGATACGGTTTAGAGTTTAGGGTTTAGGGTTTAGGGTTTAGGGTTCTTCTTACCAACCCAGAGACTCCAATACCCCTTAATTAAGGAATATACCTTAAATTATATTATATTCCTTAATTAAGGGGTATTGGAGTCTCTGGGAAACACGATGCTTCTGACATGGCTGCTGCGCAGCGACAGCAACCCTGATTCGGCCTTTGGACCACTGTCGGTGATCGTGTGCTTGCAGATCACATGCGCATTGGTGCCACCTGGCTTGCATCACGTAGAAGGTCTCGAAAAAGACGCCAACTACAACAGAATACCCGCTTTGCACTATCCTCGCAACAAAATGCAGCCATTCCCAGCATTCTTTCAAAGCACTCTGCTACAGTGCTGTAAGAGAAAGGTTGCCGAAGCAGAAGCGCGCTGGTGTGACCAAATCCGAAAGAGGAAAGGCCTGACAAGAGCACAGGGTCACACACGGCTGTTGGCGTGCAGCGGTGGTAGAAGACAGAGTGGAAGAAGAAGAAGAAGATATGTGTACTAGTACTGGTATCGATACCAGTACGGAGTACGAGTGCGAGTAGCGAGTAGGGGCAGGAGAAGCCGTAGCAGTAGTTAGTGACTAGTTAGTGGGAGGAGGAGGGCAGAATAGCAGTGGGCCTGATGTCAGAGAGCTTCCCTGCAGAGGCTGCGCAACGGTAGGGATCTCAGCAGCAAAGTCCTCGACATCTCAACATGAATTCGTGTCAACCAAAGCTTGTGCGCAAAAAAGGGTCTCGACAGAAAGCGTCCTCGAGGTCGATTGTGGGGTTTAGCTTGGCGAAATGAACGTTTGGAGGAACTGTGCCTGGGCGGGAACAGCTGCCATGCAACCGCAAACAGCAACACCCACATGCGAACCCTGTCTCATGGCGCAATCCGACATCATCACCGAGCCCTCCACCACGCTGCAAGGCCAGCATACTTTTCACTAGACCTGCCACTCCAGCTGCTCCCTCCAAGTGTCCTGAGTTGGCTTCGCTTTCGGGCATCTTGCGGTGAGCACGCAGTCAGACGTGTAGAGGGTAGACGACTCTGGGCTGCTCCGATCAGCTTTGTTTCAGGCTAACCATCTCAGATAGCTCCTTCTCATGAAGAACCCTTTATGACAACTCAGAGAAAGTTGAGATGGGGTGAGTGGGTGAAGGGTGTCCGAGAATCCGATGTTAGTTTTCACCGTCGCCAGCTGCACCGGCATCGAACGTCCCTGTGCCAGCACCGCCTGGGTAGTGAGGGGTGGAATGAATGCTTAAGAAACTTGCTTGATGCCCTACTCATGCAGCACACAACTTTTCGTCCAAATCGGTCGCGTGCTACGAGCGAAATCAACTAAAGCAACACACTCATCACCCCGAGTTTCATGTGTTGGAATTAACACCAAGTAACCATCAAATTACAACAGTTATCGCTGGGGTTCAATTCCCAGCGCCTTTGCTCAGAATCCGCGTGCAAAAACTGACTGAGTGTCCAACCTTGAGTGCCCCAGTCTCGATGGGATCACCAAGAGCAGTGCCAGTGCCATGGCACTCAACCAAGTTGATCTGCGATCCCAAGAGTTCTGCGATTGACAAGGCCTCGCAGGCACACAGAGCAGCAGAAAAGCCTAGCATCCTGAACCCCGCCATATTCGATCTCGAACTCTAACGCACCCAAACCGTAAACCTTCAACTTCAAGAAGCTGTCACTACCACCTGCACAGGCAGATCCTTTTAACAAGGACCCTGCTTGGGGATTTTTATTGGGGGTGTCCTGTCTTTTCGGGTTCCCCCCACCCAGCTGTTCTGTAATAGGGTTCCGAGATGTTCCGAGTCAACGTACCAATCGCAGCAGCATGGTAGCAGTAGCAGTTGCTCGCCCTGAAACCCGTATCCACGTGAGAGACAACCTTGATTGAAAATCGGAACCTGACATATGGGAGCTTCCGAAGATAAGGGACCGTTAGAAAGGACCCTGGATAGCACGATTCTTGTTACAAGCAAAAAGGGTCCTCAAATGAAGCACCCTGCTCTGAAACCCCCCACATGTGGGGGTTTCCAAAAATAGGGGACCCTAATATAGTACCCTAAATAATAAGTTCCTTATTATTATAAGGACCCCAAAATACGGTACCCTAATTTTCGGAAGCCCCCATGTGAGCCCTCTTTGGGGCGGCCTTGCGGATGGCATCCTGCTGCGCCGGGCCGTTTGGAGCTGTCAGGGTCGAGCTTCGGCCGTCCTGGTGAGCTTCTGTATCTTATGGGGTTTAGGGTGTGGGGTTTAGGGCTTCGGGTTTCGAGTTTAAGGTTTAGGGGAGGCTAAGTGAGCCGTCAAGGTCTACGGATTTAGAGTTGCTACTTTCAGGTTTCGGGTTTAGGATTTTGGACGTTGGGTCTTATGTTCACAGCTTGGGTCACGTAGGAGCAGCGCTCAGGATTTAGGCTTCGAGTTGCCCGGTTTAAGAAGAAACAAGGACCACAACTCTGAGCCTGGTTCGTCGATGTTGAGGCAATGGCAGGCAGGGGCGCCCAAGCGCCGGCAGTTTCAGAGGCTGCGATCTGCAGCAAAGCTGAGCCACAGCCTTCGCCACGGACATAGCCGTTTGCAGAGGCATCGAAGGTCTTGCAGCGACCATCCGGGGACAGCATGCGCGCCTTTGAGAATGCAACGAAGGGCTCTGCTATCAGGTTCAGCTGCACGCCGGTCATCAAGGCTGCCAGCATACCCAAGCCCAGCTTTTGGCAGGCAATGTCTAGAGCAACCAAGGAAGATGAGCAGGCTGTGTCCACGGATGCGCTTGCACCCCTGAGCCCGAGGCTGTAGGAGATTCGGTTCGATGAGATGGACGCATGTGTACCGGGACCCGTGTAGGGATTCGCAGATCGCTCCTTGGAAAACTTGGCCCAATCGTTGTTACACTGTCCTGCCACAGGGTTGCTCTTTTGTGCTCTGCATGTGTTCGATGGTTCGAAGCTTCACGGCCCCAAAGTCTGTCAAGAATTTTGAAACCTCTTCATAGACGCAAACATTGATCAAAGCTTGATGGGTGGGTAGGAGTTTTGTGCGTGAGTGGATCCCCAATACTACTGGGATCTGCGAGGATTCAGGGCTTCGATTTCTAGCCAGGGCCAGGGGTTGACAAAGGGTCTGAGCAGGTTTGAGGTTCTGGGTTTGTGACGGGTGGAGTTTCTGAAACACCGTCCGACGAAGACGCCGGTGTCGGAGCCCAATAGCGATTGCTTGGCACGGCCGGCATGGTGGCATGCAGCGTAAGACATCTCGAGAGCAAGCCTCTGTTGCGGATCGATGGTCTTCGCTTCTGCCGCGGACATGCCAAAGAAGCCCGAATCGAAGAATTCGGCACCCTCCACGAAGCCGCCGTGACGGGCGTACATTACGTTCCCCAGCGCCTCGAGCTCTCTTTCAAAAGCTCAGTCAAAGAACACATCTCTGGCTTTTTGAGGGGCCTCCATGTCTTGATCAAAGACTTCTTGAAGATCAAACCGCGAGAAGGGAATCTCCTCGGCCGTTTCACAGGAGCAGGCCAGGCCCCAGCGTTTCGGGGCCTCTGAGGCTCTGAGGCTCTGGCGGTGATGGCATCCTGGCGCTGTAGCCACCGAGACCAGCAGGACTCCAAGCCTTCGGGGCCCCCTGGAAAGAAGGCCGCCAGGCCCTGGACAGCCACAGTGAAGCTTCCTGCGCACGACTTACGGACTACCACTTCATCAGACACAGGAGTTCCGCGTGTTCCCACCACCCATGGTCCAAGGATACCCTGAAGTCCTGTACGCACGATGGCTTTTGCTTCCGGTGTCGCCGAAACCGCCGGAGAGTCAGTTACTATCTGGGACTGCACCAGATCGGCGATTGCTCGCAGCGTGGGGTGGTCGAACATAAGCGTGTTCCTCGGTTGCGTTGCAATTTGCGGGCTCCGTACTGAATGCGGGATCAAGCAACCTGTCTAACTTCTGATCAGCTTCGGGAATTTGATGCCCGCCCCGGCTTCAGCAGTGAGCCGGTTGCGGAATTCCACGGAGGACAAGGAGTCCTGCGAGCAGCGGGCAGTAGCTCATGTTAATCACCACACTTCGATGGGGAGATGCAGACCCATGAATCTGTCCATGCCAGCCGCCATGAGAGGCTCATCCATGTCCACGGCTGACCCGATAACATCTGCAGCAACAGAGCCTTGAATCACTTCAGCGCAAAGCCTGCTTCTCCTGCTTTACGAAGGATGCATCTGATTAAAATGCAGAAAGGGCACTGATCCAACCATTCACAGCTTCGGGGCTAAGAGTTGCCACCTCGCCACGATGCAACATGGAGCTTTCTTCTTGCGATAGCTACCATTCTTGCCATGCTTGCACCCCTTGTCACCCCCCCTGCTGTCGATGTTCCGGCCTGCTGCGCTTCAGCGCCAGCACGCTGAACGGACGAAGAGCCTTGGAAGTCCTGAAGTCGGGTTTGGTTTCAGGATGCTCTGGCTCTCTGTAAACTAAACTGTCCCCCTCTCGCCCTCCTCTCTGCGTGTCCTTGAAGTAGCTCGGTGCTCCACGAGGGAACCTGACAGCCCGGAGAGTTCGCTGGCTCTCTTGGCGGTGAAAACTTTTCGAGGCAACAGCAGCAGCAACGACAACACCAGCAGGAGTAGTAGTAGTAGTA